TGATGGGATTCGTACGCAGGACATTTCGGTGTTGCGTTCTAACGCTTAACCTCTAGACCACTGAGCAGGCCATCATCCAACTGTGTTTTTGCCTGACTTCAACCAATCCACGACAGTGAATGCCCTGGGTTCGAATCCTGCAATGGTCGATATCATGTTTGTCTAGTCTTTTGGTTCTCATTAGATTTAACTACGTAATGTCTCAATGTAGTAACGCGATGCAGAGTTAAATTGCCTCGTTGTCACATTACACCATTATAGACAGAATTCTGTTGGCTCTCAAAAATAGACAAACTTGACACTTATCATTATTTAATGCTCACTAAGGTATCGATTACCCTAAATTTGCTGATTCATCTTGCTAACGAGTGTCAAGTAATATGAAGCTTCAATGTAGAGTTTTCAACTAACTATCTTAAACATTTGGATTATTGAATATCATACTCCTTAAACATTTTGATTGATATTGTAACATAGTATTTTAACAAATAATAAGCTGAAATTTGTAGGATTAACCACCAGGGTTGACCTTTAGTTTAAATATCGACAACTAGTTGAAGAATTGTAAATAAAATTAAACACATACCATAGATTCCATTGCTATTTACTGTTCAATTTAACCTTATTTATACATACGTGTAATTTCTTTTATGATATCTTACGTTTAAACAGATCATTATTTAATATATTACAAATATATATGAATAGATTATAGTGGAGATACGCTTGGATAAGAAAACGATTCAATTTCTTTATGAAAAAAGACAATTCTTAACTATTAAGTGTAGAAGTACATCAGTGTGATTATTTTTAGTTCTTAAATTTACTTTTAAAGTTCAATTTCTTCTACTATTCAGTCAGTCAGTCAGTCATATGTAACATGGAATGTAATAGATATATGTATCAACTCAAGTGGCCATACTAGATTAACACAATCATACCAAATAATATGGCAGGATTGTGGTGCTTACCAGTATAGGGTTATGGAGATTGTTAAGTTAGCTTCACTGGACATGGCTTCTCACCAGAACTCCGAGAGTTTTCTCACGAAGCTAATCACTAGTGAGCACATGGTAATTATCAGTATAGGGGTTATGGAGATTGTTAAGTTTTTGATTGTGATCATGAGAAGCCATGACCAGTGGAGCTAATCCATGTCGGGTAGAAACAAGTGTCTACTTCAGTACAGTGGAAGATGGTCGCGCAACTTCATGGATTGGTTGAGGTTAGACATTAACACCATTGGATGCCGGCCTGCTCAGTGGTCTAGAGGTCAAGCGTTAGCACGCAACACCGAAATGTCCTGCCTTCGAATCCCATCAAGAGAGATGATGGATGCGCAATGCTGGGGAGTTCCATGCTAGGACCAGACGGCGTCCAGTGTTTACAGGTTTTCCATGGTGGTCTAGAGTCAATTGACTCATGATAACAACTATTAAACTACCATAATATCCGCAAAAACCCCTTTCTGATACTTAAATTATCTCAAGGACTTTCAGAAACCAGACTATCTAAATCACTGATGCAAAGTAATACATATCACTCTGAAACTAAACATTAATAATGAAATTATAATAATCGTTTACTCAGTAGTGACTAAATTCGAGAATCGTTTGCTAAAATCCCGGTAAGTTCTCACCACTTCTTATCAGTTAATGTCAGTATGTGGATGTTGTGCAATGTTGTAAATACACTGGCTTTGATATTGTGTGTGGTTGTATTCGGATTCAGTGAATTAGTGAATGTCTTATTAACACCGATATCTGAATGTTGTGTGTTCGAACTGAAGGATGACTTGGAAGAGAATGATGTGGAAACTACTGAATTGTTACTGTTGTTGTGATTCATCTAGATGATGTCACTCACTCCGTCACATAGATTCTATGTATATTATACACTTATTTGTAGTTTCAAACTGTGATCTTCTATATTATCGATATCATAGATCGTCTGAATAATTGTGTTGTTGATATTCAGATTGAATTTTGTGTAATCTTTGTAGGTGTATGTATATGTTGAGTGTATTTTATCTGTATAATCAATTTGTCATAGATTGTTTTGGAATAGATGGATTGTGGTAGAATCGGTGTACTAATTGTTGGAGTGATCCAGAAAATTGCTTGCAAAAGAGCAGCAAGCATCAGAAATCACCAAGATGCGTTTCGTCCAATCAGCGTTCACTTGGAGATTTTGCCAAAAATATCAAGGAAGCGGAACGTCACATGTAGAGGTTCTGACTGGCTGGTTGCTACACTGCTGCTATGTTTAGTAGCATTCTAGAATCTTCTAGCAACCCAAGGACATTTTAAATATTATAAAAACCCTGTATTTTCTGTATTGAAATGAACCTTGGAGTAAACTACTTCTCGCATACTTTGAGTCTTCTCTCTCGTGTTCAGCTCTCTGTATAGTTCCAGCTTCGGGGTTACACTTTAGCTTAGGAGATGAATATAGCGTTCAATCCGCAAGACCTATCACTGATGTTGTGTGTAGACTCGAACTGGTGTATATATGTTTCAGATTCAACGTTACACTTGACTGATTGACTAACTTACTGAATGTTTTGTTTTGTTTTGTTTTTGACATATAATCAGGTTATTATCATTTGACAAGTTGATGTCAATATGGATTCAATAGTTGAGTAGATAAATTGTTGGTAGTATTATAAGTCAATGTGAAAATGAATGTTGTAATGAAGATGAATGGAGTTGATGATTCTGAGTTAGAAATAAAAATTCACTGAGTGAATTCCACTGCTCGGTAAAATCTGTGTTGAAGGTGTATGATGTATTGCTGATTTACACATAATATATCCATATTTATTCCTTTTATCATTCACATGTAGTTCCAGTAATCTACAATTATATAAGTATTACAAAACAGAGAGTAATTAATACGAACTGTGGAAATTACTAGGACAGTTTTGACATTGTGTGTATGCTATGTTATTCTATAATATACTGAATTGGTTAGATGTTATTTAATTTAACCTAACTCATTAGGAACGGGAAAAATGTAAACTATCTGAACAAAAAGTAGTTTAATGAGTTCACTCAGTGATAACAATGATTAGACTTTTGACTTCCCTATAATTTCAGTAGTAGAATGGGATAGATTAAGATTTCTAAGAACATTTAAGGTAGTTTTAGAGGTGACGTAAGTTTAGATGCAACAAACAATTGATGCTAATGATTATATTCGACATCCTGATTATGGCAAACCATTTCAGATTTTGAAAAACTTGTTGAAAACTAATTCATATAGTGAAAAGATTTAAAATGAGATTGTTCAACCGATCAATAAAGTGCTACGGATGCTATAACTGGGTGTTTTAGAATGAGATTTCATTAGTTAATGTAAATGATGGTTTAATAAGTATTTTTAAGAAAAATATTAAATTTCATTCGAGTCTTCATCTCTATAAAGGATGGAGTTCTAGCTTATTACAACTAGATTTATAGTTTAAGGTGCAATTATCTCCAAGATGACGAAGTATGAATCGCTACTGAACGGACTCTAATTAAAGTTTACCCTTTTTGTCAACGCTTCCAAGAATGGAAGTGCAGTATTCTAGGAGTCTTTGAACACAATTTGCATACAAAATAACATAAATCATTTTATTTAGGGTATGAAGTGTGCAATCCAGAACTCGTTGGGAATCGGAAGTCTGTTTGGAGACTTGTTCTGAGAATAATAATAATATTATTTTCTTTAGTGTTTTTTTAAAATGAAGATTTAATTTAATTTGAAGATCGGGTTCACCACATGCATTGATCTAGTATGAAGAACCATTCAAGAACCACAGTACATTTGGAAAGCATTGAATCTACATCTGAAACTCAACCAATGTTGAACCATTTACGATCTCATATAGGTCCAAAATAATATTCACATTGCCGTTGTTACATCAAGATAAAGCCCAGTAATTGTCATCTTTGATTTTATTTCTTAATAAATATCTTTATGAAAATATTTGTGAAGTTTATACGGATAACTGTGAAGTAACATTAAGTCAATTATATTCAAAGAATACTAGTCATTTTGTTAATGACATTAATTTAGGATCGTGTTATACCCTAATATCGTTAAAGTATAATACGTAATTTACTTAGTTTTGGCTCATCAACTGAACAAATCATACAAGAACCTTATGTCCTTAGTTTTATCATTTATCGTATTGTCACTGATCCAAAAACAACGAAACATGAACTAACGTTTTTATTATTTACAAGTGATATAACTCTGTAAGAAAGATTTCCTATAAATTATGTTTAGAAATACTGTAATAACATACCACAAATTCATTGAATAAACATCTTTATGCTGAACATTTCTTCTAAGTAATAAAATCAATTCTATTTTATAACATCTAACTATAGTGACTATTCAAGTTAAAGTTAATATCAGAAAGGGGTTTTTGTGGAGATTGTTAATAGTTGAATTCCTGAATCAATCCAAGTTAAATCACCATAGAAAACCTAGAAACACTGGACGGCCGTTTCGTCCTAGTACGGGACTCTTCATCAGTGCGTATTCACGATCCCTCTCGTGAGATTCGAACCCGAGAAATGATTTATCTTTAAATTATAAGATTTTACAACAACTTACTAAAGTACTGAAACAAAAAAATAAATGGTACGTTTTCATTATTATTCAAGGTTGAAGTTAAAAGATTGTTGATAACTTTGTACGAAGCTATTGCTGTGTTAGAAAAACCTAATACAATATTAACCAATCCAAAAAGGAACTAATGAACAAACATTCAGACATTTAATTTTATGCCAATCATTGTTATAAACAGTATCTTAAGTGTTGTTTGACCTTGATAGTTAATTCTGAACAATGACCAGTCATATACTTTCCAAATACCACTCAACTCATTTTTTTTAGCCAATGAGTATTTTCATTTTCAAGTATATAAACAATGTGAGCACACAATGAAAACAACATAGATTGAAGAGAACTAACTACTTTGTTAAATCAAATAAAACAACTTAACAATGACTGGATCCAATTCGCCAAAAACTACCAAAGTATTAAGAAAGGTGTTGATTCCATTAGATAATAGCAATGAGTCGAAGAAAGCATTAGATTGGTATCAAGAAAATATGAAACGTGATGGTGATTTGGTTATTTTTGTTCATGTCCTCGATCCTATTCAACCATCAGCGTTATCTGCATTGTCATATGAATGTGAATCGATGCCAGCTGGTTCATCATTTCACGTACCAGAAGAAATCCTGAAAAGTGCAAGATATCTATGTCAAGAGATGGTACATAAAGCTACTAAATATGGGATCAAATCTGAAGGTCTTATTCAAATTGACAATAAACCTGGTCCAGCATTAGTTAAAACAATAAACGAACGAAAGATTGATGCAGTTGTAATGTCAAAGCGTGGTTCAGGATTTTGGAAGCTTAATTTTACGCCAAATGTTACATCATATGTATTGCATCATTCAAATATTCCAGTATCTATAATACCACCATCAAATCGTTAGTAATAAATGAATCGCACTATTATTATATGATGATTGAATTGTCTCATCATCTGTAAATATTGGCCATAATAAAGCTTTTCATTTCGCTACAGAAAATGACAAATTTATTGTATTTATTCGTTTATTACTTTACTTATTATATATTTCTGTTAATGAATTACTTACTTTGTATTAAATTATTTTATTTAAAGATAATTCGACTTGTTTTGAATAGATATTTCGAAAAATTCAGTCGGTTCGGTTAAGTTGACTTGTGTGTAAGATGTGAATTCGACAAGACTTAACGATGAATGAAATGTATCATATTTGGTTGAGATAATCATTAGATCCTTTTGATGGAGTTTTATTCTCTGAGCTGAATGGTTTGGTCGTAGAGCTTTCATCCTTCTTCTGAACGACAAACTTCAGACGGAAGTTTGTGCTGAGCTACAAATCTTCTCCACCATCTCATCATTAGATTCTATTTATCATTATGTGAAAGTTTAAGTTGACATAAGTAAATGATCTCTAACTGTAATTAAATATCTGAAAGGTATAAGTTGTTTAAATCTCTACCATCTTGTATACCTATGAGGAAAGAACTATTATCTGTATACCATTTGAAAGATAATTTTAACTTAATAAATAGAACTGTTACTATTAAATTAAACAGATAGCAAATGGTTTCTTTCTATAAGGAGACATAATTCAATAATATTACGCTAGAATAGGCTACATTATAAAATAATGTTGATAGGATTAACTTTTCAGAGAACAGCCTTCCACAAAATTTGTCGTTATTGATTTGCACAGTTTACCAAATGAAATGATTGAATGATAGTATTCTCTAGCATTAATGTACAACAATTGAATAATTCGTTTGAACCTAAAATATTGTTACTTCAAGATTGGTAAAAATGAAAGTGAATTACAGAAATCAGTAATCGTATAACAAATCAATGTTGGTCACTCAGTCAGTCAGTCAGTCGAAATCAATATAGAGACTATAAAAGATTCACGTCAACGCAACTTATCACATCGTGTCGCCATTACGAGATGAAACTAAGAACATGGATAAGTAAAGAAGTCGGTATAAATGTAGCACCAGTAATATAGCGAAAGAAAGACTAAGCATTGAGAGTATGATTGAAGAAGGCTGGATAAGAAAATATTCATGAAGAAATAATGAAATTAAAGAGGTGAAAGAAAATAAAGAGTAGATCTATCTGTTTCCAACCACTTATTGTGGCTAGTTCATGAACCCAAGCCATGTAGTCTGGACCTACCAACATGGCTCGGATTAAAAGTCACTGAATTCATGAACGAATACCAGGTTTTAGATTGACCATCCGAAATGTGACCATCGGTCACTAGCTTCTAGTACTTCTATTGAGAAATAGTAATTGATGGTATTTACGTATATAAAGTAATTACCTACCAATTCAATTGATAGTGATAGAATTGAGTTGTGAAATTGAATGAAATTGAGAATTAAAAAATAGATTACAACTCCTTAATGGTTTAAAGGTAAAGGAGTTTGACCTTTAGCTTGTAAATAACTGGTTCGAACAACGAACCACCTACTTTCATTTCAGAAATCGGATAGTATCATTAACACTTAAACTAACAATGCGGAGTTAAGTCAATCACATGAATTTATATCAGGTAAATGACTTGATAAACGTGTAGAAAAAAAATCATTTCGAGTGATGAACTGCTCGTGACAAAACCTTGAGAGCATTATGTTCGACTTCTGTCTGAATTATGAGTTCCTACTGCTGCATAGTTTCAAACTTCACTGAAATGGTTGTGCATTAATTTTAGACATTCAACTCTTATCCAATTGATGTCACTCAATCAAAAATAAGTTAAAATATGAAAGAAAACATAATTCCCATCATGTACTCAGAAAGTTCATATTCTCAGCCTGTCAGAAAATCCTAATCATAAATTACCATTATACAACATACAACGAACATTCTTAATGCCTACAAGTAACATTATGAGGAAAATCTTATCTTCTTCTACTTAGAACTTGCTAGTAAAATGGTTTTCGGATTAAGATTGAAGAAGAAACTAGAACATAATACTTGAATCTTGAAGCATTAGTGTTTGACAAAATCATCTGTCTACATGTTTCTACCAAAGCCATGACGATCATATGTATACACTCATCAAATATTTCCTGATATGATCTGATGTGTGATTTCATTTTCAACTATTATGCATTTCACTCAATTGATTCACTTAGTCTTAAGTCAGAAAATCTATGTGTGGGAAGGTGTGTTGAACTCACATTGATATTAGATAACTATTTGTTGGAATTCACAACCTCATATAATGAGTTGATGAATAGTTTCAATATATGATGTTTCATATTCATCATATCGGAAGTTTTATCGTTTCATTTCTAATTTCATCACTTTCACATACTATTTCATGTTGACACCCACTCATACACTGACCAGTCATCTGTGCTTGATTCATTGCTTTAAATAAATTGTGTGTTGATCGGTGTAAATACAAACAACGATGATTAGTTTGTGAGAGGTAGATACTAGAAAAATCCTGAATTTAGTTTTCGTGTTATTTGGCATTCATCAATAATGCTCATTTGTAGTATTGAGAAAACTGTTGCCTACTAATGAATCTTATCGTTAGTCATTCAGCTTCATTACTTGATATGATAAAGATAATTTATTGAACTTCACTACTTAGATATAAGAAACACGATTGTTTGGATATGTGTTACATCATGGACTGACAATCATGACGAACAGTGAGTACTTGATAGTCATTTCAGTCTAGTACAAGATTTTGAAATACAGTAAATCCATAACCTAATCAAGGATTGGTCATAGGAACTACAGAATTGACGTTAAATGTATTACTCTAACTCCTGTAAACTTTCAGTGATGCTTTGAACAATAAACAAATAGATGGAAAAGTGCTAAAATGTGAACATAATTTGATGGGAATCAGGTTAATGTTTAACAAGTTCTATGGAATAAGTGTCTATATGTCTTGTTTGCGGTTTTTTTTTTACTAGATAGACTATGTATTTCGTTGCACAATTGATCTCTTATTCATCAGTTGTCAATGAATTTATCTTATTAGATATATTCAAAGATAACTAAGATATCTAATTATATAACTATTAAATGTAGATTAGTTTGGTGAATTCACTCGATCTTACGACATTTATCAAAGTATATAATAATCATATGGCTAATAGTATACTATTTTAATGAAATATCAAATATAAACAATTTTCACTTGGTCTTGTCTACTTATATCTTCTCCATTATACAAGTGGTGGCCATCAAGACTTAGGAGCTAAGTGGTTAACATGATGGCGTTTGAAGCGGACGGTACTGAGTTCGAGTCCAAGAGTGAACATCGACTCTTAGATGCAAATACATCCAGCTGACAAGTCTCAAATATTATAAAATGCATCTCCTGGCTTCTACTGCTAGCCACTAACCGTTTTGCTCATAAACAATTTTGTTCTTTATATAAAGTGTATAATACTACTAACAAATGTCATGGAAATATATCGATATACAATAGAAATTTTTTTATTGAATTTTAAGTTAAATGGTAAAATTAAAAAGAAATGTGATTCTTTATTTATTCATGTTGTACTTTTAACACGTAAATTAATACGTGTGACATATATGTAATGAAATTGTATTCATATTGTATATTTCCTTTCATTGAGTTTAAATAAAATAATCACCATACAAATTTACATCTAGTTTGTTGTCATACAAAAAAATGGTAAATTATTGGAGATCCACATGGAATTTGAATCATCTGAATATAATGAAAGAATAAAATATTCAGATATTAAATAATTATGGTTATTAAATTATGTTCTCAATAGGATCTTTAGGTTCTAGGTTTAGTTGAGTGGGAAATTGGGGAGGATTTTCAAAGTACAACAGTAGTATTATCAAACACTCTGCTGCCTTTAATAATTTAAAAATTTCAACAGTTGAGATCATGAGTCAATTGAAGCTAGACCACCATAGAAAACCTGGAAGCACTGGACGGCTATTTCGTCCTACTGTGGGACTCCTCAGCAGTGCGCATCCACGACTCCGTCTTGCGGAATTCAAACCCAGGACCTATCCGTCTCGCGCCAGGACGAAACGGCAGTACAGTGCTTTCAGGTTTTCCATGGTGGTCTAGCTTCAATCGACTCATGATCTTAACTGTTGGAATTACTACAATCTCAACAAAACCTCTTCTGATACTAATTTAATAATTCTTAATACATTTAATGCTAGTTAGTTTATTTATAGCTATTAATGAGATTTCCATAGATTCGATCATGAACTGATTTTAGACCAACATTGAAAACGTAAAAGACTGGATAATTGTTTTATCATAGTATAGGACTCCTAAATGTTGGGAGTACATGACCCCGTATCCGGGAATCAAACCCAGAACTTTCAGTCTCACGAGAGACTCTAAGTTATTCAGATTAGTGGCTACATTGTAACTTGATTGATAGGATTCTATCAGCAACTGGCAGGGACCCACCTCAGACAATGGTTGCTCAAAATCATGAAACTATTGAAGTTAGATATTAACACTATTGGGCGTAGGCTCAGTGGCCTAGAGGTTAAGCGTTCGCACGCGAAACCGAAGGTCCTGAGTTCGTGCCTCACATACGAGATCACGGATGCGCACTGCTGAGGAGTCCCATACTAGGACGGAACAACTCTTTAGTGCTTTCAGATTTTCAATGATAGTTTAGCATAGACCGACTCATGAATTCAATTATTGAAAATAATTATGCATATATAATAACTTTTGTTTCCAAATAAATTATTCTCATTACCCAAGAATATGTACATATAATTTCAAATTGAAATTACAGTGCCTTGATCAAATATTTCACCAAAGATTGTCAGTTTTTAAAATGACCTTTTGATATTTTAATGACTTGTCATTTGTTTTGAATATCCTACAGTAAAAAATAATTTATTCTTAAAGAACTAATTTATGTTCAC